TAAGAAGTCGAACAGTTGGGCACCAACAGCCCATCGGGCTTTCCCGATTAAGGCAACTGCTTAAGCTTGAAGCAATCAGAGCTTCTTGCTTTGCTTCTGTGTCTCCTGCATACATGCCCTTCCCTACCTGCTCTTGGCAGAGCGCTCAGCTCCTAATGGCTCTCAGTTGGGCACTGCCCGAGTCAAATCAATGTCTATGCAAGTAAAGTAAACTCTTGAAAGTTTTAACGTGCCTCAGGTCATCTTTTAAAAACGACAAAAATGATTTTTAAATTATTTGTATTGGATAGTCAGGTGTGATTTTGTATTTCCATTTGGATACTGGAGTGTCTGGTGTTTGGGGAACTCATATGCCAAATGCAAATTCGTATCCATAGCTATGGGGCAAGGAAGCACTGGCTTTCCATTTCCACCTGGTTCATCGAGTGTCCCTGCCCCAACCCTCTTCTCATTCCCTGTCTTCTTCTACAGCTGGGAGAGTGTAAGTGCAGGACCGACACAGTGCAGGTATTCTGATCCAGCAGACCGGGTAAAGGAGGAGTCAGAGTCCTCAGTGGCTTTTGCAGGTCTTTTATTGGGGTTCACCAGGCATATGGCAGGCAGGGGTGCTGGGGGGCCGGGAGGCTGGCAGGCCTCCCAGCCCCCAGCAAGCCGTCACTCTGTCCAGGCTCTCCGGCCTTCTCTCAGCTTCTGCTTCTCCTGTTTCTCTCTTGGCGTCTCTTTTGGCTTCTGCTGGCGTCCCCATGACGCCGCCCTTAAAAGCCCAGTCTCAGCCCAGGTGAATCCCATCTACCTATGCCCGCACCCTACTCCAGGTGCTGCCATCAGGCATGCATTCGGGACCGCAGGGATCCATCATCTATCCTGATGGCGAGAGGGCAGAAAAGCCTGACATTTTTCCTTTCCCTACAGAGAGTCACCTCTCAGGGACGCAGGGGGCCAATTTAAATAATGCTGCCCCCCTCCAGGCTCTCTTTCGAGGGCAGCAAAGCAGTTTAAAATTTTCTGACACTTGTCATTGGGTTGTGTATGCCAAGTTTCCTTAACTGTAAAATGGGGATCTAACACTACAGTAAGGTCTCAATAGGTTTTTGGAAACTATGACTTTAAACAAAAGGATATGTGATGAAAGCAGATCATTGAATAACATCGCTTCATTCAGCTTTGGCCAGGATTGTTATTTTCTCATCAATGTTATAGCAAGCCAACGTTGAACAAAATGAGATTATTCAGGGACCTGCTGTACCTGCTTTTTAGGGTCCCCAGCCTTAGAGATTATCTTTTCAAAATAGAAATACCTCCAGGGCAAATTCTCTTCTAAGGGTTTTACAGATATTGTCTCGATTATTCCTTGCGGTGTCTGGTGTATGAAAAGCACTTGATAGATATTTGTTAATGGAAGGAGCAAAAGAAGGAAGGGAGGCAGGGAAGGAGGGAGGAAAAGAAAGAAGAGAAGGAATTGAAATTATAGTGATTGTTTATTTGCCATAAAATTGCAATGAGGAAACCTCTTCTGCAGGTTTCCTGCAGAAGAAATGCCAAATGTAATGGAATTAAAACTATAGTATTAGTTACACATCAGAAAATGTTAATTACATATCATAGTGAAGAAAATAAGAATCAAATAGTTTCCTAGGTCAACATTCCTGGAATTAATCCAGTGCAAAAGAAGTCGAAGAACTATTTTGCCATTACTGGAATTTAGAAGAAACCCTCTTTAAGATTTACTTCTACTTAAATACACAAAATGTTGCTGTGGTTGCTCAGGAAGCACCACTCATCTTACTGGATTTCTAAGTGTCGGGGAAATGAGTTTATTTTGAATAATGATTTGCATAAACAGATACATACCAAGGCTCTTTAAATGATCACATTCAGTTTGAGTGAAATGAACTTGACTTTACTTGGAGCTGTCATGTTGTGAATTATTTCCCAATTTCCCTTCTGCGGGTGGCCTATAAACCCCCCAGCTCATTGTAGACCTGTCTTTCATGCCTTCTGGGGGCTCTAAGAAATACAGTGACTATGCTGTTGGGGTAGGAAGGACAGGATAACCAGACCAGCCTGGCCAGTTATAATGCAAAGAGATCTGTGGTTTCCCTGATGTATCACCCAAAGCCCTTCTCTGTTCTTTTGCAATGGTAGAACAAATCTGTGAAGACCCTACTATTGAAAGGTGTACTTATTATAGATTTTGGTCCCAAGATGAGACAGTGCCAATGACCAGGAGATGGGGCACTTTTCCTGGGAAACCTGCTAGATCCCCTTAAATAAGGATACATCCATCTGTGATAACCCTGCTGAGTCGTGGGATGTGTCCTGACAGCCCTTGGAGAGACTGACCCACTCTGTCATTATTCAATCATTCAACAGATAATTTTGGGCACCCAGGGGATGTCAGAAATTCTTCCAAAAGCCAGAATTCAGAGATAAAACACATCCCCTTCCCTCCCTGCCCTCAAGTAGCTTTTAGTCTAGAACAGGATGCAGTAAGGAGTGCAGGACAGAATTCGGGATCCACTATGCCCTGGTGATACACTCTTGCTAAACCTCAGTTTCCTTCTTTGTAATATGTAATAACAGCATTGCCCACCCCCGAGGGCTGATGTGAGACCTGCCCTTTCAATCAACAAAGGCAGAGCTGAGAGAACAATGCATAAAAACATCTTCGAGATTTTTAGCCAATAAAACAACTTCCTTGTTGGTTCACTTCTGCATAGTAAGTACAGTACTCCAGTTCTACAGATATTAAATTTCACAGGAAAAATTCAAGCCCCCTTTGACAACTAGAGAATTGAGAAGTGAGGTTGAGAGTTCAAAAGTGAGTTTGTCTAAGGTGAGGACAGAAGCTCATCGTGAACACGTCAGACACCAGCCTTGCTTTAATCTGGAGAACTTTTAGTCTTAAATTGTCTCCCTATTTTTTCTAACCTAGAGTCTGAGATCCTTTATACTGAGCCTGACTTCATGCCTCTGTCAGCCCCAAAACTAAACTTTCTACCTGGGATACCCGTGGCCCCAGCTTCCTGCCAGAAGCTGGCTCCTTTTCAGTCTCGGTGAACCCCAGCTGTCAAAACACACCGTTCAAACAAAGGTGTGTTTGCAAAACCAGCCTGCTGTGCATTGCAAGTCGGGTCCTACATGTGTAATCGGACACTGGCACAGACTTGCCTGTGCTATGATCTTCATGTGGAAATGGGAAGTTTGAGCTCCGGAAGGTGCAATCATGTGTCTAATGTTGCACGGTAATAAATCTGTGGCTCTGAACCAGGTGCCGGACATCAGAGTCCATCTTCTCCATCCCAAACTTTGCTGCTTGCAACACATAGTAACACAAGAGCCAGGCTTTTGGGTAGGAGCGTGGATATCACCTACATGTTTAGTTTATGTGTCTTTGGGAATCTCCTTGGAATGACAAATACTGCTCTCACTGGGGACACAGTGCCTGAAATCCCACCACCCCAGTTCAGCACATTTGGCCTGGCAGTTAGGACTTCTGTTACCTCCAAGCTAATATCTCAGGCTTCTCTTTAAGTGCCTTCTCTGTTGTTTCAGTTGTTAAACTGATTAACTTCTCCAGCCTTTCACCCCGCTTTCCCCTGGCCTTCCTATCTCTCTGCCTCAGATCATGCTCTTGTCTCTTACTGACTAAATCTAACAATTGCCAATAGAAAATGATTCTCTGCTCTCAACATTACTCTGAGTCTTCTTTTAAAATGTAAACAAAACACACATCAAATTAAGTTGCATGCAGTCCATGTTGTTTACTATCTAGGATGGGAGAAGTTTTAAAAATTTTTATCTGCTTTTTTTAAAACAAATGTTGTGGAGCACAAATATTATAGAAAAAAATCACTATCCCAAGGAGATCAATGTTTTCCCACCCATGTTTACTACAGCATTATTTACCATAGCTAAAACACAAAAACAACCTGTGTTCATTGTTGGATGGATAAAGAAAATGTGCATAAAAACAATGGAATATTATTCAGCGTCAAAAAAGAGAAGATCCTGCCATTTGTGACCACCTGGATGGAGTTTGAAGCATTGTGTTAAGTGAAATAAGTTAGAGAAAGACAAATACTGTATGATCTCACTTATATGTGGGGTCTAAACAACACCAAGTTCAGAGATACAGAGAACAGATTGGTGATTGCCAGAGGGACTGTTGGGGTGGGTGATGGTGCAACACACACACACACACACACGAGGACCACAACTCCTGGAGGGCACATATATTAACGTGTAACGTCTGAACATCTAAGGATGAAGGCGCTCACTGATATCCCTCCTAGTCTAGAATTGGGGTAAAGCATATGAGCCACTTTGGGTGGGGGGTGGCTGGGGAAATGAGCAGGGAGGAGTAGGAGTTGCAGGAGGTTACACGCTTCCCGTACTTCACAATTAAAAAAGTGGTGGGTAGGAAAAGTAGATGGAGAGGATAATGGGTTGTGATTTTAGAAGACTTATTAGCAGGAAATTGACTGGTGGTGGGTGATGACTTTAGAGAGATGAAATCTAACAATGACAACTAACCTTTATAACTGAGCCTACTGTTTTTAAAAAGTGTCTCTTATTCGCTCAAATTATCTCATTAAAGCTTCACGAGGATCTCTTGAGGTTATTGTTATTACTCATCCGACAGAGGTGGAAACTGAAGCTGAGGAAGTTGAGGTCACTCTGCTAGTAAATGGAGGGGCCAAAGGCAGGTCTCCTGGCCTGAAGATGTTCTATCAAATCCAAAGCGGTGGAAGATGAGGGGCACGCTAGAGGCCGTTCAATCGGGAAATCAGAGTCCGCGGTTCTTTGTTAGACTGGCCAGTGGACGTGGAAGAAGACTAGTTTGGGCTGGGGACAGTCCCTGTGTGGGGTCTCCCCTGGGATCCGCCAAAGCGCAGAAATCGCGGCGCGGCTTGGCCCCGCGCGGCCGCCGTAGAGTCCCGGTTACCATGGCTCCCGGGAGCCGGGAGGACGCGCGGAGGCGTGACTGGGAAGAGTAAAGGCAGTCCGGGACCCCGGGACGCGCTGCCCAGGCCCGCGAACCCGAGAGTCATCATGGGTCGGAGTAAGCGCCCCTTGTCCCGTGCGCCCCCGCTCGCCCCCTTCCGGGAGCCCCCCGGTCCTGCCAGGGACCCTCGGCCCAGCGCCGCCCACCGCCTTCTGCCCTCTGTGTTCTGGACTAGGTCGCCGCCCTCTGCTCTGGCTCCGGCCCTGCCGCGCGGGTGTCTGGGTGTCTGGGTGGCAGGGTGGCAGGGTGGCAGGGTGGCAGGGTGGCTGGGTGGCAGGGTGTCTGGGTGTCTGGGTGTCTGGGTGGCAGGGTGGCAGGGTGTCTGGGTGTCTGGGTGGCAGGGTGGCAGGGTGTCTGGGTGTCTGGGTGGCAGGGTGGCAGGGTGGCTGGGTGTCTGGGTGGCAGGGTGGCTGGGTGGCTGGGTGACTGGGTGGCAGGGTGGCTGGGTGTCTGGGTGGCAGGGTGGCTGGGTGTCTGGGTGGCTGGGTGTCTGGGTGGCAGGGTGGCAGGGTGTCTGGGTGGCTGGGTGGCTGGGTGGCAGGGTGGCTGGGTGGCTGGGTGGCTGGGTGGCAGGGTGGCTGGGTGGCTGGGTGGCAGGGTGGCAGGGTGGCTGGGTGGCTGGGTGGCTGGGTGGCAGGGTGGCTGGGTGGCTGGGTGGCAGGGTGGCTGGGTGGCAGGGTGGCTGGGTGGCAGGATGGCAGGGTGGCTGGGTACTGGAAGGGCTGGGGTGGGCGCCGGACGCTCCGCGTGGGCCACGCGTCTCCCCGCCCTGGCTGGGGCTTGCTGTCCCGAGCCTCAGCCTTCAGACTTGGCGCGTGAGGCGGTGCCGCCTCAAGGAGGAGGGAGGCAGCTCCAGCACCTCGCTCTGCACCAGCAGAGGGGCTCCTACTTCCTCATCTCCAAAACGAAGGCAATGGCAGTATTGTTTTATAAACGCGGGAAGGGTTGTGCTTCAAAATTGGCCAAGAGTCTCCCTGGTGGTGCAGGGGATTAAGATGCAGCCTATGAGGCTTCTGTCTCTGGTGAATCCACTCACCGCCCCCCCCACACCTGTATCCTAGTTCTTGTATGCATAACTAAATAAATCTTTAAAAATTAAAAAAAAATAAAATTGGCCAAGGAGGGGCCTCCCTGGTGGCACAAGGGATTAAGCACAGCTCTGTGAAGCTGTCTGCAGCCTCTGTAGCAGGAATTCCATCCCAGGCAGCCAGGAAGCTACCCACGTGATGCAGCAGACCTCCCTTGTCTTGCCAGCTGCTCCCCTCAGCAGTGTATTTCAGTCAGTCTGTCTGTTCTGCTCCCCACTCTGTCTCTGGTGAATCCTCTCACCCCCTGTACCTCTGGCCTGTACCCCAGCTCTTGTATGCATAAATAAATAAATCTTTAAAAAAATAAAATTGGAGAGGTGACGGGGTGAACAGTTATTTGGATGAGGGCAAACATTTCCGCTGCCAATGTTTCTGACCTTTCCAAATGGCTGTTTGGTATAATTGATCACTTATTGTAAAACCTAATTGATCACTTATTGTAAAAGCATCATAATTAATACCTTAAATCAAGAGACTGGGTTCAAGGGGTGGCATTTCTGCCCTGGAAAAGCTGACAGCCTTGGCAGTGGAGGGGGCAGATGATTTCTAAATCATCTGTTAAAGCCCCATTCCTAAATCAGTTCCTATTTACTCTCTTTTTTCCCATCCTGTGGTCCTGCCCCAGATGTTTGCTGTTCATCAGCATATTTTACTTTCCTCTTTGTTATCCTTGCCTGTCTCTGACTGCTGTCCACTTTCATCTGTTACATGACAGCTTGTGGGTCTTTGTGTGGCCCCCTGTGTCAGGGGATCAAGACTGGGTGAAGAGGGGAGGGGTGCACCAAACTTCCCCCAGCTTCTCCTCTGGAAGAACAGGTAAATGCTCACTTAAAAATGATAGAGTCATGATAGAGTCGTGAGTAGGAGCCATTATTCTCTACTTTTGCCCTTTCCGCAGTTCTGAACACCCTACATCTGAAGAAGAAACTTGGGCTACTGGGCCAGGGTGATACTAGCTCATGATTCACCTGCATTTACTGGCTTCTAGACAATGTTCCCAGCGGTTTCTGTGTGTTACCTGCTTAAACCCTCACAAAAATCTTGGAAGATAGACATGATTTGCAGATGAGATACATAAAGCACAGAGAGGTTAAACAGCTTGCCCAGTGCCACACAGTAAGTGGTGTACCTGGCATGTGAACCTAAGCAAAGATGGGGTTCTTGCTGCACTGTCTCTTGGGAGTTAGGGGAGGTCTGGTGAGTACAAGAGATGCCATGTCACAAATTCTCATATTTAAATTCAAAGAGATTACTTTTAACATTAATGTCTGCTCAGGAGCAGTGTTGAACCTGGGGGCAGTAACCAGGGCAAATGGGAAGTGAATGCTTTTCTGCACGTTTAATCCGGTATAGATTCTGCTTTAGAGAAGACCTGGCTTTTGAAAAATTTCTTATCACTGAGCTTATTTTATATTACTTTGCCTGTCAAACTAGGGTGATTAGTCTCACAGAGATGTGTTCTGTGTGGCTAGAAAGTGCCTTTAGCCACAGACCCACAGGATGTTATTTCTGGAAGGATGCTCAGAGGTCTCTAGCCAGTTCTTTCCATAAAACCATACAGATGAGGACTCTGTTGTGCAGAAAGCTTGAGCATTTATTCCCAGATCTTGCACTTATTTTGTGCTAGGTCAGAATTAAACTGGAGGTTCCAGTCCATTGGCCTTTCCTTGTGTTCCCATTTTATAGTAGAGAAAAACCCCATTTTATGGGAACTGCTTTCCATTTACCTAGAACAGAGAACTTCCATTAGGGTCATTATATTGCATATTGTTTTGTAAATATCATCAGCTGCTTGAACAAATCCCTTCAATCCTTTGCTTTATTCTTTTAAACCCTTGTTTAGTTGCTAGGCATTACTGTTCATCTTCAATTTCAGACTCTTTGAGGCAGATAACATGTGCTAGATACCATGTGATTTGCTTAGTTGTACACCCGCAAACACTTGCTTAATGCTTTTTATAAACAGCTTTAAAAGGAAAAGCTTTATTAATGAAAAGTGAACTTCCAGAAAAACATCCTCTAAATAAATTGCATTAATTTACATACCCAGCATATGCATAAAGTTTAAGAAATAAACAAAACAGTTAATTATGGGTAAATAGAGGAATTTTTGTTTCGTTTTTCAAGGAAGGCCAATTTTCAAACTGAAACTGCACTTCTGGTTTTTTTGTCATTAGGTGACTTTAACAATAGCTTCGAGTACTGGAACAGTTATTTCCTTTCTGTGATTGTTTATCGATGGTTAGGCAAATATCTCATAGTCTTAAGTAAATTAAAATATTTTGACTATTTATTTATGAATGATCATAGTGAAATCACTCAGAAATTGTACTTGAAATTTACACACTTAAACATTTTATGCATAATTCTTATCTATTCCATCCTTGTTTGAGAGTTTACTATAAACCTACAGAGTGCTTTACATGAAGACCTGCAACTGTCTAAAATAAGTACAGTAGGAACTCACTTGAGACAGATCATTGGAAAAACTTGGTCAAGGTGTTAAGCAATAAAAACGATACATTTTAGTGTTTCTTTCTCTAGCTGCACTAGAGTCACTGGTATTGGACTTAGTTCCTCTGCTATGAAATGACTATGCAATATTTTTGGACAACATATAAAGGCATCTGTTTTCATGAATGTGACTGTGTTCAGGAATATGACACAAGGGAAACGCAAAAGGTCTACCTCACGATCACCACAGCTTTCTGTGTAGAGGTGTGTAGGGTAAGTGAAGATTGCTCAGCCTTTGGTGCCATTGGTCTCTGTGGTTATCATCTGTGGCCTTGAATGCAGGAGGTGCTTGGGAGCATGGGCTCAGGGTATGCATGCCTGATGGTGACACCTGGAGCATGGCGTGGGCATGCGTGTGTGGGCACACTGAGAAACAGGCTGTAAGGGCAGCTGCAGAGGCCAGAATGGTGGCAGAGAGCAGTGGAGAGCCCAGGAGAGCACACGAGAGCACGTCTGAGCCAGCTCAGAGAGAGTAAAGATTGGCCAGGGGCTGGGAGGCCTGCCAGCCTCCTGGCCTCCAGATCCCTCTACCTGCCCTGCACCTGGTTGCCTCACTACAAAAGGGACAGAAAGATCATTAAAAGCCTGAAAAAGCCACTGGTACTTCAGGACTCTCCTTTACCCATCTGCCCAGATCTATAGAGAACCTGCCCCGTGCCTTGCTGACATAACAGGTGCTTTTCTGCTGGAGATGGAATTCAGTCAATTCAAGGGTTGGTCCTCTTGAGCTGATGAAGTTGCTGTAGTTTATGGGACTGAATATAGAAAATTAGCATGGAATAGGGAAGCAAAGATGTCATAGGATATTTACTACAGATATGTAGACAGTGCGTGGCTGTGCACAAGCAGAAGACTGAGAGAAGAAGCAGACATCACCTGCTGTGAGGCAGTATCAGGTGGCGACACAGAGGTCCTGCAGTGCTGGGAGATGCTGGAAGCCTGGCCCATTCAGAGTTAACAGATCTTGCTGAACCCAATGGGTATTCAACTGAGACCACGAGGAAAATCACAGCTTAAGAGTTAAGTTCTGGCTTTTCATGTTCAGGCCTTGCAGGATGGCTCCCGCAAAGAAGGGTGGTGAGAAGGGCCACTCTGCCATCAGCAACATACAAAGAACACACCATCAACATTCACAAGTGCATCCATGGAGCTGGCTTCAAGAGCGTGCCCAACCAGCACTGAAAGAGATCCAGAGAGGCCTCCTTGGTGGTGCAAGAGGTTAAGTCTCAGCACTGTGAAGCTATTGGCAGCCACTGCAGCATGAGTTCGATCCCCGGCCAGGGAGCTACCCACATGGCTCAGCAGATCTCTCCCGTCTCACCGCTGCTCCCCTCAGCAGTGTATTTCAGTAGGTCCTCCTGTTTTGCTCCCTACTCAGGCTCTGTTGAATCCTCTCACCCTGCCCACCTCTGGCCTGCACCCCAGTTTTTGTATGCATAAATAAATAAATCTTTAAGAAAAAATTAAAAAAAAAAATAAAAGAGATCCGGAAATGTGCAGCCATGGAAATGGGTGCTCCAGATGTGTGCAGTAACACCAGACTCAGAAAAGCTATCTGGGCCAAAGGAATAAGGGATGTCCCTGATTGCATCCATCTGTGGTTCTCCAGGAAACATAATAAGAAAGAAGATTCGCCAAACGAGCTGTGTACGTTCATTACCTATGTGCCTGTCACAACCTTCAAAAGTTTCTGCCATTTCTACTAACGGTCAGTGTGGATGAGAGCGAACCACCGACTATCAAAGTTACAAAACTGAAAAAAAAAAAAAGTTAAGTTCTGGGCCCTAGAATAATGGTCATGCTCTAGGACTAAGTCCAACACTAAAATACTCTTTTAACAAAAAAAAAATAAAATTAAACCTAACAAGGAAAAAGGTCCTGCCAGTACTTTAGCTTAAATTTCTTATTACTGCCACAACAAATCACCACAAACTACCAGCTTAAACTATGCATATTTAATATCTTCAAGTTCTGAAAGTCAGAAGCTATCAAGGATCTCATCTGAAATTAAGGTGTTAGTGCTACTGTGCTCATTTCTGGAGGTTCTAGTGTAGGGTTCATTTTCTTAGTCAGCTGGAATGTTGGCAGATTCAGATCCTTACCGTAATAGGGCTGAGATCTTTATTTCATTGCTGACTCTCAGCTGAAGATCATTGCCAGCTTTTAGAGGGATCCCACATTGACTGACAGCCCTTTTCCTTTCTCTTCAGCCAGCAGTGGTGAGTCAAATTCATCTCATGCTTTGTATCTTTTTCTTCTGTCTCATCTCTCTGATCCACCTGGAAAAGGATCTCTGCTTTTAAGGGTGCATGTGATTAGATTGAGTTTATCTGGATAATTTGGAATATTCTCCCCTCTAAAGATCCCTATTCTTAATCACATTTGCAGAGTTGCTTGCCCTTCACCCTGTAACAATTCACAGATTCTGGAAATTAGGGCTTGGGCATCTATTGCGGGGCGGGGGGCAGGGGGAAGGTGCGGTTATCATCATTCTGCCTTTCAAAAGCAGTTAGTATCGGGCCTCCCCAGTGGCGCAGAGGTTGAGCGCTGGGTTGCGAACCTGCCCGCAGCCTCTGCAGCGCTGGTTCGATCCCCGGCTGCTCCCCGGCCACCAGAGGAGGGTCCCGCATGGCGCGCAGACCTCTCCTAGCGCCCGCTGCTCCCCTCAGCAGTGTCTTCGGTCCTTCTGCCTGCTCTGCTCCCCGCTCTGGCTCTGGTGAATTCTCTCACCCTCCCACGCTTCTGACTATACCCAGTGCATGTATAAACAAAAAACAAACAAATAAACATGCCTCTATAAAAATTTGAAAAATAAATAAATAAAAAAGCAGTTAGTTAAAAATATTCAAGCATATAATGGAAAATATGGACATAATGAGTGGACAGATGGGGGTTCGCAATAGAGACATGGGAATTACTGCTTTTTGTACCTAATGGAAACTCTGGAACTGAAGTACAATATCTGAATACAAATTTCACTGTGTGGGCTAATATCAGGTTAGAGATTGCAGAAGAAAGAATGAATTTGAAAATAAGTAGATATTATCCAATGTGAGGAACAGATAGATAAAAAAAGAAATCACTCTAGCAGTAACCAATAACATGTGGGGCAATATCAAGAAGCCTGAAATACATGTGATCTGAGACTAAATAGAAATGGAGAGAGATGGGGCTAAAACATCTCTGGGAAAATAATGGCTAAAACATATTAAAATTGTTTTGACGGGGAACTAGGCAGCGCGTTATAGCACTCACTGTAGCCCGAGTATGCTTTTCCTCATTTGTTTATTGGGAAATAACTAGACCTTTCAAGATTCAGCCCAGACTTCTCGATGATTCCTCTTTTGACCTCCCTTTTGTCACTCCATAGCACTAAGAGCTCCCTTCTCTGTTCCTACTGTCCGGCTACCATTGCCTGGAGTGCCTCCTTGGTGCCTTTTAATAGAACAGTATGTGAAGAACACCCAGTGTCACTGGGTTAGGTGCAGAATGACTTGTCAGCAGTATGACCACCAAGCTCACAATGATGATCCTGATTCAGTCAGAAAAGGCAGGACAAATGATACTCCTGTCGTACACAACTTCCATTGAAAATAGTAAAAGAAAAAAAGATTTTAGAGGCTACAAGAAGCGTTGTCACCTGTTTGTAACCCATCTATTTCTGGAAATCAATTTCATACATGTATATGCTACTTCTTCCAAGAGATTTGAAAATTCTGCAAAATCTACTATAAACATGGATTGATTTACTTCCAATATAGCAAGAAAGAGTTGTTTACAAAACATGTTATAAAACTTGAAGGAGTTACTGGCTTTGGGAGCTTCTAGGACCTTGCTTAAAACACTGAAAACTTTGGAGAAGCAAACACAGCTCAGTAACCTCCAACATTCCAGAAGCTTTTTCCTCCTGTCCTACCAACAAAGCCATGTTATTGACACTCTCAAGTTACTGAGCACCCGATCAAACTGAAGAAGTAGAAAGAGGTCTAGTGAGACTGATTGATTTTGGTTAAACCTTTGGATTCCTCAGCAGCATTCTGTTAGTGAGACCAGGATGAATCTGTGGTTAAAACTGTCAAAATTCCCCACCAGCCATTGGTCCCTCCAGGCATGCAGACATTGGTTAGCACATTCTGTGAAAAAGCCACTTCTCAGATTCCCTCTGAGTGGCTTACTTTGCCATTTGAATTTTTCCAAAGTAAGGAAGAGAAATCAATGTTTCATACAATACTTTAGCATGTTCTTCTGTATCAAATGTTAGGCACCAAAACACCATGTCTCTTGAAATAATCTTATGATGACATATTCATGCTTTTGAGGCATTTTTAAATCCTTACAATGGGTTCATTATTTGCAAAGGGCTTCCAAAGAGGAACAGTGCTCCTTGAGTTAAAGAACGTTTGGACTAAATTATATAGTGCATAAAACTGCAAGGTGGGTTCCTGTTTCAAAGCTTGCAATGCCAGGACCCCAATTCATCATGGGGACATTCTCACACTTTTCTTCGTGGGGACTCTGGATTTTGCACGGATATTTGCCATTACAGGTGAGGCTATATCGGGCAACAGCAATTTCCTGAGCGTTATAAAACAGTTAGCCACACAGCAGTTTGCTTAATATAGAAGAGTTCAGAAAAGGGCCACTGGGAAATCCCAGGCCCACACAGCTCTATCTTCCTGTGCAATTCTCCATTTCATTTTCATCTGTCCTAATTGTGTATAATTGTTGCCAGTGGGCAGACTTCCTGTGGGCAGTCTTCTCTCTCCCGTGTGTGTATGTGTTTATGTAATACGTGTATGCATTTTTAGTTATTTTTTTAAGATTTATTTATTTATGCATACAGGAACTGGGGTAGAGGCCAGAGGTGTGGGGGGTGAGAGGATTCACCAGAGACAGAGTGGGGAGCAGAATAGCCAGATCTACTGAAATACACTGCTGAGGGGAGCAGCAGACGAGTCAGGAAAGGTCTGCCGCACCATGTGGGTTGCTCCCTCGGGGGGGGGGGGGATCAAATTCGTGCTGCAGTGGCTGCGGATAGCTTCATAGGTTGCGTCTTAACCCCTTGTGCCACCAGGGAGGCCCCATTTTTACTTATCTATGCTCAGGGATGTTCAGGTCCCCTTTACCTAATTGTGACTTTTGTTGTGTTAATTCCATGGCTAGGAGATATGGATCAACATGGTTCTTTCCTAATATCTATGTTTCTGAAGGGGAGGATTTGACAAGTGCATGCAAATGATCAAATTCACACACATAATAGCATAATAAGAAGAGTTTTTCTAGATTTTAAGAAAGGTGTCAGTAGAGAACAAAGGATTGATATTTGGTACCAGTAAGAGTTTTGTGAGCAATCGGAGAAACTTCAAATCTTCAGGGCTGGGCAAATCAAGTGGATGCAACTTGAAGATATAGCTCTGGCACTGCCAACTCTTTGGACATGTTATCCTGTACTCTGTGCCTCAATTCCTCATCTGGCCAAGGTGGATAATTTTACCTATTCCTACATTGATACAGGTAAGGCATTTAGGACAGTATCGCCTCGTCAGTAGTAATAAATCAATCTTTATTGTCTCCTGGGTTGGACATGTAATATTTTCACATTCCACCCAAAATATGAGGGTTCCAATGAATTTACACATTTTGTGAGTGCTGAGAAATCCATTGGCATTACCACATTGACTTTAGTGCATCTAATGAAGGTGATTCATGGTCACGTTCTTGGCTCCAGCCCTGGCCAGTGCATCGTCACTATCCTTTGGTGCCATCGTCATCAGTGGACCTGTCCCGCTGAGTCAGACTAGCCCACTGCCCTATGTCCCTCCCATCAGCAGGCGGGAACGCTCAAGGCTCCCCTTCCTGTGAGCAGCTATTCTCATGCTTTTTTTTAAAGATTTATTTATTTATGCAAGAGCTGGGGTATAGGTCAGAGACGCAGGAAGGTGAGAGGATTCACCAGAGACAGAGCGGGGAGCAGAACAGGCAGATGGACCTGCTGAGGGGGGCCCTGCTGAGGGGGGCAGCAGGCAAGGCAGGGGAGGTCTGCCGCACCATGTGGGTATCTCCCTGGATAGTCGGGGATCAAACCCCCACTTCAGAGGCTGCGGACAGCTTCCCAGCACTGTGCTCAACCCACTATGCCACCGGGGAGGCCAGCTGTTCTCATTCTTCCTGCAATGCAAAATCTGGGGCCTTTCTCTTCTTTCTCTTTAACTTAAATTAATAAATACCTGTTGAGTAAATGAATGAAGAGATGCCTTGGTATTTCTACCCTCTGTCAATGCTAGGCATCTCGGCTGCGGATGCTTTGTGTTGCTTTACTTAGCAGTGCTCGGCCTCCTCAGCAGGAACATACCACGGCGAGCCTCCACATCCACGGTCTTGTGGTCCTGACCCATCGACTCTGGTGCCTCCCACTTAGCAACATGTATGTTGGCCCTGTGCAAAAAAGACAGAAGCTGCCATCCCTTTCTCCCCCGAGTCGCCAGGGCATCACAAAAACTCCAGGTCTCACTCCTCCCATCTGAAAAGCTCCTGGGCCCGGAGAGCTGCCATCCGCTGCGGAGGACAGCCAGTGCGTTCATAATGTAATAACCCGACCATGAACGCGGGGACCAGAGATGTAATAATATGTGACACGTTTTCTTTCAGTCACAGAAGAGCTTATTAGACGGAATGCCGAGCACAATGACTGTGTCATTTTTTCGCTGGAGGAACTTTCCCTGCATCAGCAAGAAATAGAAAGGCTGGAACATATTGACAAATGGTGCCGGGATTTGAAAATCCTTTATCTTCAAAATAATCTCATTGGAAAAATTGGTAAGTTTTCAGGACTTCGCTCTCCTGGTTTCTGTAGCACTTTGAATGGGGGTCTTGGGGGACTGTTGTGCTGTTCCTAGAGGAGGACAGAGCGGAATGAAAGTGACTGGAAAGCAGAGGCAGCCTCGCAGCTGAGAAGGGCACTTCGCCCTGCACCTTCCCGCGCCGTCTGTCTCCTTGGCCTGTGGTCTCCACCAGGACCTGAAGGGGCAGGTTAAGGTGGGAGCACATGAGTCGACCTGCTCCTTTACAACCTGGTTTTTAAAAAGTTTGAAAGGGACGAGGATATGATGCAGGCATTGCCCTGGTTTGACATCATTCTGGGAGACTGAAGAGATGATGTGGGAGTTGAGTAAATCCTTGTCAGATGACCACTGCCTGGAGAGCCCGTGCTGCCCTGTCTGATGAGCTGACGAGCGTGCGCAAGTCATGGGGCTCCCTGCTGGCTAGGAGGGGCTCCGTGACTACACTCTGTTCCAGCTTGGAGTGAAATGAGTGGCAAATCCAGGAGTGGGGTGGATGAAGGTCAAATTATCAGTGTTGTGACTGACAGAAGTCTTTGGAGAACATGGTTCAGGGATCAGCCCAGTGGGTCTCCTGCAGGGGCTAAGTTAGCATTGCACTCCCCTGTCCTTGACCCCGCGGGGCCAGGCTAGCCCAGTGGAGATTGGAGCAGGCAGGAGAGCAGACCAGAATTGAAGAACAAGGTGATGGGGCTGATGAGGTGGAGTGAGTGCTATTCCCTGGCGTTCTGGCCCTGCAGCCTGAGATCTGCCTTCAGGATTACATTTTTTAAAGATTTATTTATTTATGCATAGAAGAGCTGGGTACAGGCCAGAGATGCAGGGGTGAGAGGATTTACCAGAGACAGAGTGGGGAGAGAACAGGCAGATCTGCTGAAATACACTGTTGAGGGGAGCAGCAGGCCAGACAGGAGAGGTCTGCTGTGCCATGTGGGTCAACTCCTTGGCTAGGGTTTGAAATCATGCTGCAATGGCTGTGGATAGCTTCATAGTGCTGAGACTTGTGCCACCAGGGAGGCCCTCAAGGCTACATTTTAACTTTTCATGGTGATGCACACCAGTGCTCAGCAGGACCACTGGACAATGTCTGGGGACATTTCTGGATGTCCCTAGTGTGTGTGTGTTGTGGGGGGAGAGGGGCAGTAGTGCTGTTTCTAGCAAGTCATGTGCAGGGACTCTGCTAACTACCCTAGAATGCACAGAACCTGTCTCCTCCTTAAGAAAGACTTGCCTGGCCGGAATAGTTAGCATTGCTGAGCTGAAGAAAGCTGGGTGAGGTGGCTGCCCCCATTTCATGGGTAATGGAAATCCGGCTATAAGGTTGCAAAAAGCCCAGAATTTGCATCATTTTTGGAAGATTTATTAAAAATCTTTATATGTCTCCTGATAATTTTGGCATCTTTTACTTTTACCAGAAATTAGAAGCTCTGGCATATTGTTCAATTAAAAAGGCTGTTATAGAAACCCACCAGCTTTTATTCAGGGGGACATTAAAGTGTCGTCCTAATTGTACAGATCTAAAAGAGTTCCCAAAATTTTAATCTCCACAGCTGGGTCCATCACAATGACTAATTAGTAGCATAGTATTTCAGGCCTTTTCAGAGCTGTGAGGAAGCTTACATTCTTGCTTCCAAAGTATTCTTAAATTAAACGCTCTTTTAAATCCTAATAATGGGATTTTCAGTGCGGCTCCACCCCTAGGCATTTAGGCTCTTATTTAGCAAGTAAAACTGTTTCTCCAGGATCCAGACTATCTCCTGTGCCATTGAGGTGGAAGTCTGCAAAAACAATCGCCTTTCCTCAAGTTCTGTGCCTGCCTGGTGCCTCCCAGTGTGAGCGGAGGACTGGCTGGGGTCCCATTGGGCTCTGCCTACCCCTGACTCAGAGTCTGAGTGGGTGTGCTCCCCAGATTCTACACGTGGAACTGCTCCCCCATGAGCCTCCAGCCTGGGTGAAGCCCAGAGTCCCAGCTCTAGAGTCAGGCTTGGCCCAGTGGGAGTTCGCAGGCCTGGCTGTGGCAGTTGGAGAGAGCCAGCCAGAATGGTGTGGGTAGACTGACTCACTTCCCACTGCCCGAGCCTCTCCACATTCTGTCCACAGAGCTCCTCTTTCTCCTGACCTGTTTGGCCACTGAGTTAATTTAGGAAATCCTTCCCGAACAGATTCTACCTTTCTTCGTCCCTGATGACTCTATGTTTAGAGGATTATACGTATAACAAATGTGGGGAAGGAGCAGGTATTTTCTTGCAGCCTGGCAATTATAACAGTAATGATTTACCTATTTTGGTTCAGGATGCAGATGAGAGACTCTATCTTAATTCTTGGCATATAGAGGCCTGTTAATTATTGACTGCTCAGATGTTGCCTAGAAAACTTTACAAACATTAGTAGTGAGTAATCTAGTATTACTTAGCATTGAGTAGTTAGCGTTACTCAGAATAAATCATTCCCAAACTCTCATTTTTCAAACTGAGTAAACCAAGATTCAGAGAGGTAGACTGACTTTCAAGTCTATGGGGCCAAGTGCACTCTCATATTCTGTAAACTTTACATGAAATGATCATGATGATGAGGGAGGTAATTATAAACCATCACATTTTGACTTTCACATTCTGGAAGCGCCACTGTGCCAAATGCAGAGTTCTTTGCTCTCCTTCTCCTTCTGTTGGATGTAAAGACCAAGAACTACTCCTGCAAGTTCTCCTGGAATGAGATAGTGTCACATCCTGGAGTCCAGTTCCCCTGTTGTGCCACTTATCTTTCAACAAGTATCTTTGAACAAGAATTCTCCATATCTCAGTGTTCTCCTTTGTAAAAGGGGGAAAACAATTGTGTTTCACATAGGGATATTATGAGGATTAAATAAGAAAACAGATGCAGAGTGCTTAGAAAACGACATGGCTTGAAATCAGCCCTCAGCAATGTTAGCGGCATTATTATCTGCTGTTTCGAAAAGGCCCATCTTACAGCAATTCCTTGAATTCTCTATGCTGCGGTTTCGCCATTATGGGCCTTCATGTTTATTCAATACAGTCATCCTGTGTCAGGGTGATTCCAGCTTCAAGTTAAGGAAAATTCAACTCAGTGTGATTTTCCAGCGAGGAAACCGAGTGTCTTACCCCACTGTGAGTCTGCAGAGAGAGGCCAGGCTCCAGGCAGGGTTAATTCCTTCCTCCTGCCCCACCAGCCGCAGAGTGGACTTCATCCTGTAGTTGTGAGTGTCCAGAGGGATAGTACATCCTTCCGTTTTTACATCCAGTGGGAAAGGAGAGAACGGAAATCCCCAAACATGGAATATTGGTCTTTCCCTCTGTTGCGATGGGAGCGGGGGTGCACCTGCCCCTCTGGCATCGCGTGTCTGCCTGGAGAGCCCTGAGCTGGTGGGCTCAAGCCTGGCTTCCTGCACTGTCACTCACAAGGAACAAGGGGTGCCATGCGCTGGCCCAGCTGGTTCCACCTAACCCCCTGCACTGGGGTCCCTGAGGAACAATGGAGGGAGAAATGGGTGCTGCATACACAACTACAGTGTCAGATGTACACATGAAGACTTGAAAAAGCAACATGGTTTTGACAACCATCATAAGCCTTAGGCTCTCTTCATCATTTTCATAACAGAGCATGCAAAATATCTTTTTTCAAAGGTTATTAATTATATTACTTGTTTATTTCAGAAAATGTTAGCAAACTCAAGAAACTTGAATATTTGAATTTAGCTTTAAACAACATCGAAAAAATCGAAAACTTGGAAGGTAAGAATTTTCTGATGAGTTAAAATTGAGATTTAGAACCAGATTTACAAAGTATTAAACAATAGACATACTGTTCAAATGAATGTTTTTAACTTTGTATGTAACGCTTACTATAAAAAAATCACATAATAAGACACATAAATTCTAAAATGGGAGCCTACTTTCACCCCTTCCTAGCCCGTCATCCTTCTAGAAGTGATGGTCCCAACACTTTGGTGTACAGAAGGCAGTTTTGTTTCATTTTGCTTGGTATCAATGGGCTCCTACTCTGAAACTTGTTTCGAAAGTGAATTTGTTCCGTGCAATTACCTTGTTCTTTCACTATCACCCCCCAGGAAAGGGGGGTGCTCTGTAACAGAATGACTGGAGCCTGATGTCATCAGCCACTTTTGTGCGTAGGGACACGTGGGCTGGTGCCAGCATCTTGCTACAATCTGCAAGGTTTCTGGGAGCCTCCTTCCACGCTTCGCTCTGTGTTCAAGGGGGAGTTTTCCTCCGGGATCCATACTTAGAAATGGAATCCCTGGGTTTAAATACACAAGTGTAAGAAAATATTGCCAAATTGGTCCCCAAAAGAGTTGTATCAAGTTACATTGGACTGATAGTCCATGTGAATATCCATGTTTACACAACTTGACTCATAATTTTTATAGGCATATTTTAAATGGGAAGACATTGTATCTAATAATTTTTAAAATTTGCATCTTATTATTATGGGGCTTCCATATAACCTTTCAGGTGTTTTTGAGTATTTGTGTTTGGTATTACAGCTTCAGATATTTTGGTCACTTTTCTACTGCTTGCTTTCTTTATTTAACACGCTGTTACACATACCAGATATTCATTCTTTGTGATATATGTTTTCAATATTGTCTCTTGAGTGCACTACTCTTCTTTTATTTCAAATATGATGCTACTCTCATTCAGAAGTCTTATATTTTAATATACTCAAGTGTATCCATCTTTTTCTTCATAGTTTTGGAATAATGAATGTATTTTAATATTAATGATTTTACTTGTTCCTTAATCTAATACATCTCAAATTTATCATGTGAAAAAGGAATCAAAGGTACTTTTTTTCTCAAAATGTCTCTTAGTTGAAATGTATGGACCATCTTTTAAAGATTGAAATGCAGTTCACAGAGCATGAAACTCATCATTTTAAGTATGTGGCAGATTTTTGTGTATTCCTATGTTTGTATGTTTAGTGTCTGTCAGTCTCCAATTCCAGAACGGTTTCTTCACCCCAAAATACAAACCATACCTGATAGCACCCAATCCTTGCCCTAGTCCGTACTAGTCCCTAAAACCACACCTCTACAACCATCTCCATAGATCTCCCTGTTATGAACATTTTAATGTAAATGAATTGCACAATGTGTGGTCTTGCATGTATGTGTGGTCTTGTATGTCCATAGCATGGTGTTTTCAGGGTTCATCCATGGTGTGGACATATCAGTACTTCACTTCAGTTTTGGCTGAATAATATTCCATTCTTTGTATGCACCATATTTGGTTACTCAGCTCTTAGTTGGTGAGCCTTTGGGTTGTTCCCTGCTTTGGTTTATTTGAATAAAACCACTGTGAACATTGATGTCCATGTGTTTGTGTGAACTCATGTCTTCAATTCATTTAGCATAAAGCTGGGACTGGAGATGCTGGATCATATGAGAGGTCTTTGTTTAACATTTTGTGGAACTACTAAACAGTTTCCCAAAGTGTCTGCATCATTTTGTATTTCCTCCAGCAGTTCATAAAGGCTCCAGTTTCTCCACATCCTCATCAATACTCATTCATTCATTGCTGTCTGAGTGGTGTGAAGTGATACCTCATTGTGGTTCTGATTTGCATTTACCCCATGACTATTGAGTTTTGGCATTTGTCTTTATGTGCTTATTGGCCCTTTGTATTCTTCTTTGGAATGTTTATTCAAGGCCTTTGCCCATTTTCTAATTTGGTCATATGTCTTTTACTGTTGAGTTGTAAGTTATTTTGGATACTAAATTCTCAACAGATTATGTAATCTGTAGATATGGTCTCTCATTTTGTGAGTTTTCTTGTCAGCTCTTTGGATGATATCCTTTGGAGCAGGGTCATTCTTCTTCAAAATGGCTTTATTGAAATATAATTGATATACAAAAATCTGCACACATTTAATGTGGTTACTGTTTTTTTGGTATAACTTTTTCCATCCTTTAACTTTCTTTCTATTTGTCTGTTGATTCTAAAATGTGTGACTTTTAAATGACATACAGATGGATCATTTTTTAAAATCTATTTTAGAGAGATTAATCCATTTACATTTATTGTAGTTACTAATAAGATAGACTTTGTTTGTTACTTTGCTATTTGTTGTCTATATAACCTATATATCTCTTGTGCCTCTGTTTCTGTATTGTGTTTTTATTTTTGTAGATAGGCATTTCTTGTAACCCATTGTAATTAACTGTTGTTTCCTTTATTATATATTTTTTGAGTTTTCTTATTTTTGTATATAGAGAACTAAAATTAACATCTTAATTTATAATACTTTAGTTCAAAGTGATATCATTTTAATCTTAATAATATACAAACACTTTACCCCTAGATACTTTGTTTTCCTGCCCACTTTTATGTTGCTGTTGTCAAAAATTGCATCTTTATGCATGTGCACCCACTAATACTGCTTTATAATTATTTCTTTTTGCAGACATCTTTTAATGGTTACAAAAATACAAACATAAGTTTATTCTGCCTTTTATTTTTACCTATGGATTTACCTTACTGATGCACTTTTTTTTTAAAGATTTATTTATTGAACCAGGGTACAGGACAGATATGCGGGAGGGTGGGAGGATTCACCAAAGACAGAGTGGGGAACAGAACAGGCAGACTGACTGAAATACACTGCTGAGGGGAGCAGCGGGTGTGACAGGAGAGGTCTGATTGCCATGTGGGTATTCCATGGCTGGCGGGGATTGAACTGGCACTGCAGAGGCTGCAGACAGCTTCACAGCACTGCGCTCAACTGCCTGTGCCACAAGGGAGGCCCTGCACCTTTTTTTTTTAAATAAGAATTCACGTTACTCTCTAGTGTCATTTTATTTCAGCCCGAAAGACTCCCTTTATTATTTCTTATGGGTCAGATTTGCTAACAACAAATACCCTCAGTTTTTGTTTATCTAGAAATACCTTATTTTTTCAAGATAGTTTTCTCAGATATAGAATCCTTGATTGGCATTGTTTTTATTTTCTTCCTTCTTTTATCAACCTCTCCACCTACCTACCTACCTACCTACCTACCAATCTATCTTTATCTTTCACAATAACTTTCTTTTCTCCATTTTCTCTGCTCTCCCCTAGAACTTCTTATAAGTGGATTTTGGTTGTGATAGACTGATTTTCATGTATTTTAACCTGTATTCCTTATTTAAACCTCTGTCTTTAATTCTACATTCTCGGAGATTTCCTGTTTTACTTTCCAGGCTCCTATCTCATGCTGTTATTTCCTCCCAAATGTCTGGTAACACTTGGTGTCTGATTATATTCACCAAGGATTTGGCTGATTAGGTGGCTGGTGTGGGCTTATTCTGCATATGTGAGGTTCTGTTTCCACATCCTGCCTCTCACTCGGCTGGCAGGGCAACCATGGGCTCTGTGTGAGTGGGCAGACTTGCTGGCTGGCAGGCTTTACTTAGAGCAGGGGCATGGAGCAGAGGCAGGCAAGCTGCTCTCTCCACCCTACTCCCATCTGCCCATAGCTAAAATTAGGAGGACTTTCCTTAGGTTATAGAAAATTTTTTAGCCTATTTTCCTCCTGGTGTATGTCAGTGACTATAGAGATTGTAGATTAACAAAGACATAAATATTCATGTTTCAAATTTTCATCCTCAAAAGTCAGAATTTCATCACTATCAAAGCTCTGAAACCATCATCAGTGCTGGAATTGAGATAATTCTTCCCATCTCTGGCATTTCTGCACTGGGAATAGAGTCATGACCCCCTTCTATCCACCTCTGTGCATGTGAACAAATAGAATCACAAAATTTACTCTGTGTCCATATTCTTTGGTAACAAGCTATCAGATGAGTATCTAAAATGCTCATTCTCAATTGGTTATTCCATAGCTTGTTATTTTTAAGAAAGAATCTTAAAGGATGTAGAGTCCTATGTTTGCAGTACATTTTACTCATCTACCACTGGAGGGCAGCATTGTCACTACTGTGTTTTTGCACTTTGACAGCTTGGCCCACAGGCCACCTCAAATTGTTTACCTGGGCACTTCTTCCTTTTGATGTTCCACCTTCCAGCTCAAGTACGGATGCACTGGGTACAGGGGGGTGGAGGGTATGTTTGTGGAGCTGGCAGTAGGGAAGGAGGATGCATTTATCTACTGACAAACATGCACTTTTTGCTTAATTTTAAAGGTTTGAGATGAGAGAGGACAATAGACATGCATATTCTGCGCACCCACTTATGTAAATCTCAAATTAATTTTAAAAATAAAATAGAGTTTTGTTTGTTTTGCTGGTGGAAAAAATGCTAATATCCTTTTTTTCCCCTCTTGTGGATTCATCCAGCTAGACTGAAGCTGCTGCTTTTTCCATCCCTCCTCCTTTTTCCATCCCTTCTACCCTAACCTGTAAAGAGAGATAGGGTTTCTACTACTGCAAGCTCTACCTCTTGGGAAATCAATGATGTTGATTTCAATGCTCTTCAGAACCCTGCAGGGCACTGAGCTGGATCTCTGCAGAACTGGAGGTGGAGGCTGGAACTTGGTGGAAGGAAGGAGTGAGTGCCTCACTCCAAACAGGTGTTTCCTAGTGTCGGTTAGGCCAGCAAATCTTTTGTGAGGAGGGCAAATGTGGTTAATTTCTTATATGTAGAAGAAAAATTAAGGTTCATCACTTTGGAAAGTATAACAAACAGTTGGAGAGTCCTTCATCTCCAGAAGTACAGCAAACTTCAAAAATACGTGAATTTTTGTCTTGGGAGTCTTCCAAGTGTCAGCCTCCTCTTACATGAAAGAAAAGGCATGATTAAAATGCCTCTAGAATCTTTCACCTAACCTTTTTTTTGGCAATAGAAAACATGCAGGCATGGAGATATAAAATTAATATTTATATAGTTTTCATTTACATTATTCCTCTTGTGGCCGAGAACACATGTTTATGACTTAATGACTGAATTATCCAGTACACTGATGTGTTTTAAGTAACTTACCATTTGGTGCTTGAAACATTTTGAATTATGTTTGCTGTTGTGACTAGAACTGTTCCAAACAGCTTTGTGCAAATTAGCTCTGTTTCTACTTGAACTATTGACTGGGGCCTTTTCTCCCAGATGAAATTCTGGATTAAGGGAAGAAAAGCCTTTAAATGTCTATTTTATGTGTTGTCAGATTGAATGCTGACAAGCATCATTGTTAGCGCATAACCTTGCTAATATAATTAAACGTTTTTGTTGATATTTTTGCTAATTTAATAGAAATAGTGATTTGGGTGTCCTTTTTTTCATTTATATGTTTATTTTTAAAAGATAAAAAGTTACCTCCCCCCCATTGGATAAAGTGTTGAATATATAGGTGTGTATTTCTTCTTATTCATTTTGGATTTTCATCTTTTTTGTAAATACCATAGTAATATAATGCACAGTTTAAAAAGCCAAAGTGCTCTTTCTACTCAGGTTGGAAAACAATCCTCAAACCCATAACTCTCACCCCCTCTAGGTCACCACTCTCAATTCCCCTATTTCTTCTACATGATTTTCAGTAATGTGCTTCATTGGCTGTTTCTCGACATGCCCATGTGGGCCTCACCTATTGACTTCCCGATGTAGAAGAGGGGAGAGTGAGAGGCAGGCGGAGACTTCAGTTGGGGACATGGGGCACCCAGTGTGTCTTACAAGCATTTGGAAATAGTGTGGGGTCCCACTGGATGGTTATGTCCATCTAATCCCAAAGCCTTTGCTCCTGACCACCAGGTTCCCATGGGCTGTGAGGGGAGTGCTTTCTACTGTGAATTTGACTCTGATTTCTCCAGTGCCCTGCTCTCTGTAAGGAAGGAGGCTGGGTCAGATCTCCAGGCTTCCACCACTTGCCTTCTCCCTGTCTCTCCCTGGAAGACCAGACTGCCTTCTTCTTTACCATTGTCGATCCCTTTGGGTCCATTGTTGGTGGTCTTGACCTATGCTGGTTCTTCAGGGTGACTTTACGGATATGTGTCCTTGTTTCTTGGTTTTCTGAAGTGCCTTGCCTTTGAGGAAACCTCCTGCTCTCTCCCTTGTGGTGAGGTGTGTCCTGATAACTCTCTCAGGGCAGCAGATACCAGTGCCCTCCCGAGCGGGAGATTTGTTCTGAAGTGGTGCCCACCCCAGCCATGGTCTGTACTTGGCTTTCTCCATGCCAGATTGCCCACCTTGGGCTTGCCGATGTGGGCAGGGCAAGTGATTTCCCCTGACTGGAGAGACCAAGGGGTTGAGGAAATGGGAACATGCAAATAGAAGAATGAATCAAGCTAAGCCGGGGTGTGCATAGCACCAAAACCCACTTCTTGGTAACCATGCAGCAGAATAGTGCATATGTTGTGTCTATTTTCTGTTATGACACACTTTTTATTAAAAGTGGGGTTTTTTTGTTTTTTTGTTTTTTTTTTTTGCTTTGTTTTTCATTTCTCTCAACAGGATGTGAAGGGCTAAAAAAACTTGACTTGACAGTAAACTTCATTGGGGAGCTGAGCAGCATTAAATCTCTTCAGCACAACATCCACCTGAAAGAGCTCTTTCTCATGGGTAACCCATGTGCTGACTTCGACGGCTACAGGCCTTTCGTGGTGGCAACTCTCCAACAACTCAAGGTAGGCCTGTCTGAATGATGCAAATGTCTCAGAAAGATGAAAACAAACATGACAATCATCCCGTCATTCACAGCATTGTCAGGAAATGTGTTGCTTCACATGGAATATTGTGATGCAATATGGAATGGAATATTCCAGAAAATCAAAACTGATTCTTTGATTTGCTGAGTCTTTAAAGCTGTTTTCATAACTTTAATACATCTTTGAAAAATTAAATGGCATTTTTTCTTTTCATATTCAGTAAACACAGAGCTTCATATAATTCTTTCTTGATGAGTTCAAATCATTGGTACAGAGCACAAATCATTGGTACAGTCATCATCACAAAGAACAAATGCAAAGCGTGGGTTTTGGGGTGTCGATAGCTGCACACCTTTGTGTTAATTTGAAACTACTGTGCTTTGTAATGATTCTGTTATAGAGCAACCCCGATATTAAACGGGTTCCTGGCTGTGGGTCCTCACCCGCGCGCTTTAAAGGGACTTATGAATACTCTACTACAGACACACACAAAAGGGTTAATAAAAGGTTTATTTACAAGAGAAAAGGAAATAAGGAAAATGTACAACTCAGGGAGAAAATAGGGAAATAAAGTCTTTAATGCGTCCTACCCGATCCGACGACCTGGAAACCCAAAGTCACTCTCAGAGCTGGCCGGACGCTGCGAGCTGGCGGGGAGCCAAAATGGGGGAGCCCCCCAAAGCCCACATGTCTGCCTTTTGTATCCACCTGGCTGCTTAACCCCACCCTCAGGTCCCAGCCACCTTCCCTTTGGTGGTGATGGGATTTGGAGTTCCCAGTGTCTTTGGCTTTGACCTGGGGTGGGGGTGGAGTCCACAAAGCCTATATGGAATTTGCTTTGGGACATCCTTTTCCCCCTAACAATTCCTTTTTATCATAGCTTTCTCTTAACTCATCCTCTATGCTGGTCCTCAAGCTTGGTGTGCTGCACCCTCATCTTCACCTGCATGTGGCTCTCCCTTTGAGATCTCTCAGGGCCAGACCTATAATCCAGAATAATCTACCCATTTTAAAATCCTTAATCACATCTGCAGAGTGCCTTTTGCTATAAGGTCATCTTCATGCAGGTTAGAACATGATGTCCTTTGGAAAACCACTAGAAAGACACCAGATATAAGCTGACTGCTCTCACTGGGACCTTCTGTGGATCCTGTTTTCAAGGGCTGAACACCAATCACCTGTATTTGAACTGATGACTCTATAAAATTATGTAAAATTACAAAATTATTATTATATTATACATTATATAATTATAAAATTATATAAAATTATACGATTATTATAAAATTATAGCATTCATATTGTACACAGACCCTTTGTTGTAGGGGGCACTTGGGAAGTGTCTTTGTTAGACTTTGGAGCTGTGACTTGACTTGAAGCATCAGAATCCTTTGTCTGGTGGACAGATAGAAAACTAGTATCTTTCAAGAGTTTGCCATTGACCATCTCTTTCTACAGAATGTGGATTCCCCAGCTCCCCTGTTCTCAGGATATTGTCTTGGTGCCTAGAGTTCCTGCTGGTGAAGCTAAAATGTAGTTGGCCAGGGGTCCTCTCACCAAGACAAAAGTCTGGAAAACCAGTATCTGCTGAAAACAGCAGGTAGATATTATAGCCAGGTTAGCATAACCAGCTAGATCACCTTGTCAGAAAGTTAAGTGTAAACAGAAACTAAAGATAAGATGTTTTGATCAGCAGTGGCAATGGAGCCCCCAGGTAACAGGCCCTATTCACTACCCCCTAGCTTGTGCCAGACAGTTACACATCCTCAATACACATCCCCACCTCTCACATTCCCCCACAGACTTGCCTTCCCTGAACCCGATTTCCAATAAATGTGAGACTTTCCTGGAAAAGGTGCTGCTCTCCCTGAGGTGCAAGCCCCTCTGGGTCTCTCTCTCTACTTGGATTTTGAGTTGTCTTTCCACTGTCCCACGCTGCTCCCAACTCTGCCACCCTACAAGGTGATAGTAGAAGTCCTACTTATTTTGTTACCAGTAATGATACTTTGAAAACCATGTTTTTGTACAAAATACACATTGATTTAGATCAGAGTTTCTGTTGTTCTTCATTAATAACTTTGCCCTTGATTCCATCACTATGGTGCATAATTTTTATTCTAACTTTAAATATTCTGACCAAAGGCAGCCAGGGCCAATTCAAATTGTGGCTTTTTAAATATGTTGGTGGTGTTTTTGTTTTTTTTTTTTTTAATTCAAGTGGCTGGATGGTAAAGAAATAGAGCGCTCAGAAAGGATCCAGGCATTGCAGAACTTTCCAGAAATTGAACCACAAATCAGAGAGCAAGAGGAAGCTTACTGCCTCAGACGAGCCAAAGAAAAGGAAGATGCTCAGAGGAAACTGCAAGAAGAGCATGAAATGGAGGGTGAGAGGAGTCCCCCAGGCTGCAGGGACCTTGATCCCGGGGGCATCAGTGCCACTTGGTATGTAAGTTACCAACGATTGCTTTCTAGTAACCTCGTGTTAAACAGGCAAACTACAGTCTCTTCCCAAGAAGTCATCATCTCACTTACCCTCCAAGCAGTGAATGTAAAGGATACATTTTGAAGTGAATTGGGGGGAACACATTGAGCACCCCATTGTTTGTGACAGTTCTGTCAGGCTTTCCTCTCTTAGGAAAAAAAAATGTCCTTCCAAACTAGCAACTTGAATTTGCATCTCAAATTATCCTCAGACAAATCCCTCCTGAAGATGCACAGGAAAGATGAATTAACAGGTGTGGGTTGATTTATAAAGGAGGACTATTTTAGAAAAGTTAAATGCAAATCACATTATTACAAATTGAATAATTTTGATTGCATCATAAAATGTTCTGTTTTGTGAATTACATCATGAATACATTTTTAATGTGATTAATAAGTCTCTAATTGGCCCTTTTTACAGACATGAATTTTTCATGCTTGTTTATTTTAAATGAATTGAGGGTATAGTCAGTTGATTTATTTCCATATCATGAAAACTTTAAATGTTGTGATAATGGAATTTTTTAAATTTGAGAAAATAATAATTATAAACTGTCTCAGATGTTGGAAAAAAAATAGGCAACTGTAGTTCCACCACCCACATTTAATAAATGCCAATAGTTTACATGTTCTGGATATTTTTAAAAATAGAATATCATCAATGGAGTAGAAGACCCCTAAATATTTCTTCCCTGTTTTATTTTTCCTTTTATCATTAGTAGTGTCCTCCATCTTGAATCCATCCATATTTGTAATGGATTCACTATGTAATTTGCCACCTTTAATAAGAGTGGCTCTGTGTATTTTTTTCTAGCATGAATGGCATCTTTCTACAGCCATACTTTTCATTCAACATTATGTTCCTGAGATTTTTGCCTATGAAGACATATAGTGCATTCATTTTAACTGTGCGGTAATATTCCATGGGAATCATCAATCACAATTTATCCAAGAGGTAACATTCAAAAGTATCTATGAGTGATTCCTCGGCCCTGAGGCACCAGAATGGACATCAGCTCCAACAACCTGCCTGGCCCTGCTAGGGCTGCCAACTGAAGAGCCACCCTGGTGCAACCATCTCTCCTTAGGTGGCCATTTAGGGTTCCCCTACATTTTATTCATTCACACAACATTGCGCATGTCTCCCGTGTAGGTAGGAAAGATTTTCCAGGGAGTTCAGCAATGTCATTGCCGCATCATCAATTATGCACATCTTCTTAACTTTATAGGCATCACCCAACTGTTCTCCAAAGTGTCCTGATTTATATTCATGTGTCAGCAGTGAAGGGGAGCTCCTGATCTTTGCCAGTACTAAATAATGTGGTGTTTTATATCACTGGCCAATCAACTTGGTTGTTAAATAACACCTAATAGTTCATTTAATTTACATTTCTAGAATCACTAGTGAGTTTTAATATTTTGTGATGACAACAGCTTCTTGTATGTTTATTGGCATTCAGATTTCTTCTGTTCAGGCAGTCTGCCCATTTTAAATAAGTTGTAAGGATTTTTTTCTTATTGATTTATTGTTCTTTTATATTCTAGATGCAAATTCTTTCATGGTTATGTGCTTGGCTAATATCTTTCCTCAGTCGTTGACTTGTCTTTAATTTTAACAGTTTCCATCTTATAGAATTCAAAAACATTAATGTAGTTAAACGCATTTTTATACCTTTTGGCTTTTTGTATGAAGTTTTGGGTTACCCCACGTGAAATCTGTCTGGAACTAACCTTTGGTTACAGTTCAGGGCAGGGGATTAATCTTTTCCCACGACGTAGCTTGTGTCTCTGCACCATGCACGAAGGTGTTCTACTTCTCCCTCAGCGCTCCGAGGCCACCTCATCATGGACCCGCTGCTCCAGTGTCCCCAAGTCCACTCCTGGGTTTCCTAGACTGCTCCATGGAGCCCCTCAGCTTGTTTGCATTTCTGTAGGTTTATGGTAAATCTTGATATTTGGTATGAGATATTTTCATTTTTCAAAAATATGTTGACTATTCTTGGTTTTTACTCTTATATAAAAATTTTAAAACCTGCTATTCAACCCTCACCCCCCACATCCCTAATGTGATTTTGATTGAAATTGCATTTAATTTATATGTTAATTAGGGGAAAGTTGACATCTTCATGACTTTCTTTCCTTGCTGAACTTTAGAATTGCTCTCTATTTATTTAGAACTTCTTCTGAGTTCTTCAATAAGGTTTTATAATTTTCTCTATAAAGGTCTTACGTTATCTTTTATTAGATTTATTTCTATGTGTCTTGCAGAATGGGATTTTAAAAATAGACTTGTAATTGGTTCTTGCTGATGCATAAAGAGATGAAAGATTTTCTGTGTACTGATTTCTGTATACTGATATTAAGCAATTTTACTGACCTTTAAAAAATATGCAATAGTGAGTCTATAGATTATCTTGTGTTTTCTTTCCAGAAAACACATTTTTATAAATAGCAACTTACAACTCCTTCTGCCTCTGCTATATAATTTTTAAAATGATGTCTTCCAAGGTCTTCAGTATGGGGTGGAATATAGCGATAAGAATGTCTATCTATACCCTGTACTTGACTTTAAAAGGAATATTTCCATGCCTTGTCATTAAATATCATATTTGTTATGGGGTTTTGGTAAAATTAAGTAAGTTTCCCTTTATTCCAAGTTAGTGAAGAGCTTTTATTATGACAGATACTCTGGGTTTTTTTTTTTTTTTTCTGTATCTATTTAGATAATCATGTTTTTCTGTTAATGTGTTGAATCACATTAACACATTTTCCAATATTAAACTATCCTTGAATTTCTAGAATAAAGTTTACAGCATTGCTGCATTCATTTTACTAATATTTTATTTATAATATTCAAATCTATGTTCATAAATGAGTTTATGCTGCGATATACTTTTTTCACTGTATTTTTCTTGATGTTTTGCAGCAAAGTGGTAAGAGGCATGTAAAATCATTTTCCATTCTTGGCTTACAAAAGTTAAAAACGATCTGTCCCTTGCCTGTTGGTAGAAGCATCAGTAGGGTTTGTGTAGGGACCTTTTTGCCTTCCCCACAGCCCTGGGCGGGTCCTTCATCCATCATTCCTTTCACTCCATTCAGCCTGTTTGTACAGAAACCAAGACAGTTTTCACGAGTGTCACTGGATAATGAGTCGTTGGCTGGGGGAGAAATATGCAGCTGCTCCTCTCTCAAGGCTGCAAGGAGAAACCCCATAGAGGCCTGGGGGCTACCAGAAGAGGAGATGAGCCCCTCATCTCTTGAGTTCTGGGCTGGAGCCTGGAACAGAAGGTCAGGGACAAGGGCATGAATGGAACCAGCTCACACTTTAAGCCTTTGGTACGGAAAGGATTTGTAAATATCCCATGGGCCAAGTACATATGGAAGAAGAAGGGATACTGCTCAAGAGAGTCACGGTGGCACATGGGGTGGACTATCAGTGACAGAAACTGAGAGTTGACACAAATGACCAGCCAGGTAGCTTATTGATTACTCTGACAGGGAAGGAAGGTCTTTAGTGTCTCCAAGATCCCACAAATGTGTTCACAAGAGAAAGCTAGTAACTGGGCATCAGCTCCCGAGAGGGCCCTGCAGCCAAGTTTTAACACCATTTGTGTCCTAAGAGATGTTTGTCTCCTCCTCCCTCATCCTCCCAGCTCCACATTTCTTAAGGCAGGGGAGACCTAAGAGGCTCAGTGAAGTGGGGTGCAGAGGGAAGAAGCAGTGAGGACTGAGGGGTGAGTAGTCTTATCTCTCTCCCCATGCCCAGCCTGATCTAGAACTGGCAAGGGAGGTTTGGATAGGAAAGGGAAGGGCTTCTCTATTTGGATGTAAGTCTGAAGTTGTATTTAAACTGTAGATCTTTTAATTCCTGAAAATGAGTTTTAGCTGAGATAAGATTGTTCTGAAGCATGACTGTAGGGTCTGCTCTGAGCAGGAAGAGAATTCTGAGGGAATATTTGAAGGAAGTGGTTGAAGAGCAAACTTTTTGTTCATATCCTAATGATTTCAGTATTTTCATCAGCCAGTGACGTATATCTAAATGCATTTTGCCTTTGGTGACTCCTCTTATTTAGGTGATACTATCATAGCTTTCCTTAAGTGCATTTAAAAAATTTTTATTATGCTATTTTTAGATTGTAAAAGTTAAAAGTAGCTAATTAGTCACTTTTCAGCAAAAACAAATTCTTTTAAATGAGAGTGAAGCCAATTTTTTCAGTGATGATGAGCTAGAATATTATAGGATGATACAGAGCATCTTATAAGATTGCTTTCTCAATACCATTAAGAGCTATAGCTATATGGCAAAGCTTTTATTTTTAGCAATCTGCATTATTTTTGCTTATTAAACTATCTAACTGCATTTTATAATATGTAATGAATCTAAGTAGAATTGTTCTCTATGTTCTGTTTATACCTTTAAAATTTCATGTTCTGGTGCTTTCAGCCCATCCCTTCAAAAAAGATCATATTTGAAGGTCAACTAAATGAGCCTTTTGTGTCCTCTCATTTCACTTGCAACAGTGAAACCGAGTGTCTAATAGGGACTTACTATTCATGCTCTTGGTACTAAAGACTTCCTATAGATTTTTTCCTTTGATGTCACTTTGTAGCTGAATGTATAAGTTCTATAAAGGGTGAGGGGAGAGAGGCGATCCCTGCTGTCATTTTCTGCTGGGACTCTCCTGAAGCAGTGTTGCTGTCTGTCTAGACTGGAACCATCTTGACTGTCGAGCCCACAGAAGATGCCCCATAGATATTTCTTGAATCCGTGATGAACAACTATTGAGTATCTCCTGTGCCCTGTGATGCCATGTGGAGACAACATTTATTTCTCAGTCCACAAATCATAAATAAAAAAAGAGAATAGAGCCCTGTTACCATATAAAGCTACACAATCAAAAGTTGCCTCTGAGAAATGGAGTAGGCAGAAGTCGGAGGGTGGAAAGTCCCATACATCCCCCTAGAGAGACTTGAGGAGGAGAATCACCCTGTTAGAAAGATCCCTGTGGGAGCAGCGTGGAGGCTGGAACTGGGGAGGTCAAGATTGCAGATGAGGGAGGTTGCCTGGCCCTGGGGTCCCCAAGCTCGCTTGGTCTTCAGAACTTCCTGCAGTATATGTAAAACCCAGATTCCTGCCCTCCCCCACACAACTGCATAGAATGGTGGGATTCCAGGACTCTGGGATCTTAATGAAGCTCCAGGTGATCACATCACCTAGGGCTGTGGGCCCTGAAATCTGCCTGTAGGCGTGTCTGTGGGGAGAGAAGACGCGGCCCAACCTGGTGCTGTGGCTGCAAACCCTCATCCGGGCTGGGATGAGGCTCTTTCAGACCCACGTGTCACTCCAGGCAGGACGATGAGACAGAAAGGAGCATGAGGTGCTGGAGGGATGTGCTGAGGGTGCGACTCCCATGTGGTCCCTGGACCTGTGCTTTTCCTAGCTCTTCTTGGACGGAGAGCAACGAGCACCTACTGGCACTGGGAGCACCAGAGGGACACAACAGAAAGGAACCAGACAACAGCCAAGAGGACCTGGAATTCTGGAATAAGCCCTCTCTGTTCACTCCTGAGTCCAGATTGGAGACGCTTAGACATATGGAAAAGCAACGGAGAGACCGAGAAAAATTAAGGTATTCCCTTTTCTCGTGTGGCTGAGAGGGAGGCAGCAAGCCCTCATGGAATGTGTTTTCATCATGGAGCATGTTCTACCCATGCTCCATGCTAACTCTGTGCCACTGCTCACACTTAGACTCCATGTTCAGTTTGTGGTTGTGTCTGCTACCATTTATTAATGCCAAGCTGCCTTCTCTAGAATATCATGAATTAGGACCTTTTAGGTAGGGTTTTGCTTACATGTCCTTAGTTTTTTAAGAAATTTAAATGTATGCAGTTCCCCTATGGCCTGGCGTAGCAACAGCAGTGATCCTGAGACAGAAAAAGACTACTTTGTAGGATGAATGAGTTTCGTTGCATCTTGTTTACAAAATTAATGATTAGATGCTAGTTTCATTCGGCATTTTGTTTTCCTAATACAACTTCCTTGGGTATTTACTAGCACACTGTCCCTTTTGAATTGGTTAGCTATAATGTGATGATCTCTATAATGTGATGATCTCGCAGAAGCTAGAATGCTTAAGCTATTATTTTCAGAGTAGTGTTGTAAAGATAGGCTCTCATTCCATTCCATGTCACTGCTTAAGTCAAATATTTGAGAAGTCTCACTCGCGGGAACACTTACAATTCAGGAGCTCTAGCGTGTGATCAGTTAGCTTTGAAATGCAACAGTTTGCATGGCAGTGACATAAGCAAAGCAACTAAGAGCAAGAAATGGAAAGGACAAAAAAAGCTCAGAAATCTTTGCTGCTTTGAGAAAATGATCTTCCTTAATTGCCTAAATAGGAAGGTACAAAACTGAGAATGCAAATTTTCCTAAAATACTTTGTTTTAAAATTTGGTGCTTGGACACTAAGCGGCTCCTGGCCTTTAGAAGAGTGTTGCAATGGCATCGGGAAGTGTGGGCTCTTGTCCGGACTGTGCTGCTTACTCTGCGTGCTGTTGGCAAATACAGAACTTCTCATGTGTCTCTGCCTCTGCTACGCCGGGGTTACCACACCTGCCTTAGCCACCCCACTGCGCTGTGAGGAGTCACATAAGCCAATACATGTAAAAGTGCTTAGCAGACTCAAGTACCCTCTGAAATGTCCATATAATATGTACTGCATTCCTAGCATATGCACACACACACGGTGTATTTATGCATGTATGTGTATCTATACAGGTGTTTTATATATATATATATATATATATATATACACACACACACATATATATATATACCTTTACACATACACAGAATACATACTGGACATTGTACTAAACCTGAAATCAGGAATATTCCTTCCCCTGACAGCCTCTCCCTGGCTGAATTATATGGCAGGCCTCCAGCATGCCCAGGTGCGGTGGGCAGCCCAATGCAGTGGTACCTGAAATGTTGCCTCTTGTCAGTGCCCCTTCATTCCCCTCTATTGTGGGCAGCAATGCGTGTCACAGAAACATTACCTTAATTGGGCCTGGAGCCTCTGGTCCAAAGCAGAAAAATGTGAATGAATTTATGTGTTAAAGTTAATTGACTCAAAATCTATATGTAAAGAATAATAGAAATCCAAGACCAAAAAAAAAAAAAAATTGCCTACAATTTCATCTTCTAAATAAATGTGTCCTTCTGATCTTCTAGAGATTGTCCACGTCTTTAAGTTTTTATATATTTTAGTCATATTTTCAATAACTAGAACTTCTTCTACTCCATGTTTCTTTCATATTATTCCTTGAATGTTTTTCTTTTATTCCATTTCTTGTCCTCCTGCCCCAACCCCTTCAAGGAATTGAGTACTAACAGGCTTGGGTCCAATCAGCCAGAACTTTCTCTACCCCCTGCAGTCTTTTAAATCATTTTGGCAAGTGTAGAGCTTGGGGTCTTTTAAAAGCAAAAGTAGACATTATATTGTATATATGTGTTCTCACTAAATACAACAACAGTTGCCCATCACTTTTTGGATCAGTAGGTAAAAAAGAAATGTAGCTTTTAATAGTTGTAAAATATTTCATGATGTGAATATGCCACCATCGTCCTGGTCATTCCTCCACCCGTGGATGATCATCAGCCAGCTCTGGGATTTTGCCACTAGGGACAATGCTGTGATGGGCATCCTGCAATGTAGGGCCTATGGGCTGGTATTTTTATTGCTATAGAATAGATTCTACTTGGCATTTTATTTATTTATTTATTTTATAGAGGCATGTTTTATTTATTTATTTGTTTGTTTGTTTGTTTATACAAGCACTGGGTACAGTCAGAAGTGTGGGAGGGTGAGAGAATTCACCAGAGCGGGGAGCAGAGCAGGCAGAAGGACCGAAGTACACTGCTAAGGGAAGCAGCGGGAGGCAGGAGAGGTTTGCGCGCCATGTGGGACCCTCCTCTGGTGGCCGGGGAGCAGCCGGGGATCGAACCGGCGCCGCAGAGGCCGAGGGCAGCTTCGCAACACAGCGCTCAACCTCTGCGCCACTGGGGAGGCCCCTACTTGGCATTTTAAAAATTGTAATTTTAACTAAAGCAGAAGCTGTACATACAAATGGAGAATTCATAGTTAACTGGGCAAGTCATGCATAAAATAGACTCATTTAAATATTCATGTATATTTCATGAAAAGGAAGATTTCCCCCCATTTGAATTATCTGGAAAATTGTTTTCATTATATTTGTGCTTTACAGCTATAGAGACAACAATCTAGAAATTTGGCTTGATGGTCAATTTCCAGCATAGGATGAAAAGAACGGATTTCATAGCAGTGAATTGTTGATGGATACACAAATATCTGATTAGATTTTATTAAACTCACAAAATTATTAATAACTTCCATGATCTTTTTACTTTTCCCTCTCCCCTCTGCCCCTTGTTCCAACCTTAAGTGAAAAGAAGAAGAAAGTGAAACCACCCAGGACTTTGATCACTGAAGATGGGAAACCCCTGAATGTAAATGAACCCAAGTACGTGAGGCCAGGTAGAGGCGGGGAGGGCAGAGTGTGTGGTGTTGGTGGTGGCGGTGTTGGTTGGTGGAGGTGATGGTTTCCAGAGTGTTGGTGGAGGTGATGGCTTCCATGGGGTTGGTGGAGGTGATGGCTTCCAGGGTATTGGTGGAGGTGACGGTTTCCAGGGTGTTGGTGGAGGTGATGGCTTCCATGGGGTTGGTGGAGGTGATGGCTTCCAGGGTATTGGTGGAGGTGATGGTTTCCAGGGTGTTGGTGGAAGTGGTGGTTTCCAGGTTGTTGGTGGAGGTGGTGGTTTCCAGGGCGTTGGTGGAGGTGATGGTTTCCAGGGTGTTGGTGGAGGTGATGGTTTCTAGGGTGTTGGTGGAGGTGATGGCTTCCAGGGTGTTGGTGGAGGTGATGGTTTCCAGCATGTTCGTGGAGGTGGTGGTTTCCAGGGTGTTGGTGGAGGTGATGGTTTCCATGGTGTTGGTGGAGGTGATGGTTTCCAGGGTGTTGATGGAGGTGATGGTTTCCAGGGTGTTGGTGGAGGTGATGGTTTCCAGGGTGTTGGTGGAGGTGATGGTTTCCAGGGTGTTGGTGGAGGTGATGGTTTCCAGGGTGTTGGTGGAGGTGATGGCTTCCATTGCAGTTTAGCTGCAGAGCACACCTGCCTGCTCTTAGCAAGCCTGACAAGCCTAATAATATCATCTTGTGCAAATCTGAAAGCAAAACATCTATTATGTTCCAAGTGCATAGAGTTTGATTTAATTTTCTTGGCATCCAGAAAATGATGTTGACCTATGGAAATTCTTTGTTATTTATATATCCTCTGATACATTGGACCACACACAAGTTCGTGCCTGATAATTGCCAGTGACTGTTGTTGTATTTCTTAATTTTTAAAACTCTGCCATGGACAGGATGGCTGAGAATACTAATCCTTCTCCAATGTATTTGCTTTCTATTCTGGAACACATCTATAGAGCTTTCGATGCTCAGGAAAGAAATGGATACAAGTGCCTCTATGAAGTTAATAAGAGAGGAAAAATATCAAACTGCCTGTCCTATCTGACCTATTCTATTTGGCTGTGTTAACATTTAAACGTAGAAAATAGGTCTGAAAGGGCTAAAATACCAATCTGGAAGCCTCTGGAGTAAATTCTGTTTGCTTAATTTCATTACTCAAAATCTATTCACATTCAGCATTTTGTTCGCTGGGCCATTTCCATGAGGGCACTGTCTCGAGCCAGTCCAGGCTCCTTGCGATCACTTTACCCCAGTCTCAGGTAACAGGCTTTTCTTGCTCGGGTCCAAACCCTGGGCCTGAGAGATGAAGTGACTTGCCCAGGGTCACACGGTCTGATCCGCACTGCTTACCCAAACCTAGTGATTTGCATGATCAAGTTTGTAATCTCACCTCCCCCGCGCCACAGACACATCTTTATCCAGCAGGCGTGAGTGTGGCACAGGGCCTGATGCCGGGCACTGGGCAGGCAGAAGTGCCCAGAGCAGCTTCTACCTTCACGGAGATTAGAAGTCTAGTGGGAAGATCATCTTTCTTCAGCCAACAGCAGGGCTTCAGGGAGACCCTCAGTAAAATGCATCCCTAGTAAAATCACCACTCTTGTCACCCCACTTAGCTACCCCCACACCAATTCTATAGAGGGGGTTCAGTGCATAATGTATTACCTGCTATCTCTTTGACTACCACTTACTGCCATCAATGCCATCAATGCCGCTGTCACCCTGCCTGGCCCTCCCGGGTGATCTATCATCCCAAATTGTGTCCTTATACGATTCTGTGCCTCCTAATTCAGCTCAGTCTCTCCCGCCTGCCTGAGCCCTCACCTTCTACTGTGCCCTCGGGCATTTGTGCTTTGTCAACAACACCTGTATCCTCAACCTCATCTCTCAATTTCTCTTTTATCTTCTTCCCTGGAGGATGCTTCTACTGCCACCCCTTTCACTTTTTCTCAACCAGACACTCCACAAGCAAAGTTAGCCCTCTCAGCTGCTTTCAGACCATCTCCGCCCCTTCCCTACAACGTCCCAGCTCCACTGGAGCACAGGTTATGTGGACAGGCCGCCCCACACCTCCTTACTTCTTGACCAACCCCCAATCCGCCCCACTCTCAATGAGCTGAAGAACTGAACACCAGCCCATTGCCCCCTCCGTCTGTCCTGCCATCGTCAGTCTGTGACGCCGTCTTGCTCAGGGGCCTCAGCCTCGGGGTGCAGTTCATGGTGGCCTAGGGCCTCCCGCTGGTTTGGGCGGTGATGGCTTCTTCCCCAGCAGCGCCAGCCTCTCTGAGCCTCGGGTCTTCCCTGTGAAGTGGAGGCGCTGGATCCAGGCGCTGGATCCACATTTCCCGGGCTTGGCTGGGTCAGCAGTGAGAGGAGACTAAGAAGATGGCCAGAGAAGAAAGGAAGGCCGCGGGTTCACAGCCCGGCACAGGAGGCTGACAGCACGGGCTTCCCCGTGATATTTCCAGTTTTAGTTCGCGTCTAGCCAACCGAAAGGAAGTGGAAAAGAAAGCTTTAGCCACCAGATGTCTCTGCGCACCAAAGCAAATCCTTTTGTATGAGGTTCCCCTTAATTTTCTCACACGTAAATAATGTAACCAGAAATAACGTAGTACTATGTTGTGGGTTTCTTTTGAAATTTGTAATTACCATGTCCCGCTATGAAAATAAGTTTGTCACTGGAGAGCATTATAAAATGATTATCAGATTTGTTTTTGACCATGTGATGGCATTACCTCTACACTGTTGCTAAAAGACATCATCTCCCTCCCCCCCCCCCCCAATGGATTATCTCTTAGACTTGACTTCTCTTTGAAAGACGACGAAAACCGTAACCAGATCACCCTGGACCTGGCTGTCTACAGGTGAAGACATTTCATTTTGTATTTATTTAATGACATTTCGGTCTGTTTTCCCACTCTGTTGTAATCTTGTGCGTCCTGAAACATTTTGAAATGCAGTTGGGCTTGCCTTTTTTTCAAGATGCCGAGTTTACTATAAGTTCTAAAACATTAAATTTTAGAATATTAAAAAGAAAGGACATATTAACACAAATATTAAAAAGAAAGGAAAAGTAAATAAGCCCATGAGTCCATGGCTGTGCCCTTGGGAATATCAATTCCTAAGGCAGAGTCAAAATAATTCTCAGGGCTTTACAATTTCCTCGTGTTGACATCCTGAGAAGACCCTTACTCCGTTATAAGATACAGGGGTGCTGTGTTAACACCGGGGACAAGGCACTCTGGGGGTGTCCTTGACAATCAAGGGGATAGCCAGGTGGCCTCAGATTAGCATCCCCATTTTACAGATGAGGCAACTGAGGCTTAGAGCAGCTCAGGGACATGGTGAAGGTAATAAAGCAGGGAGGGTAGAGTCAGCTCCTAGCAAGTCTGTGGGTGAAGCTATTCCTTGAACCCTGTGTTCTGCCACTTGCCTTACTGCTGTAATGTTTGAATCATCACCGCATTTTCTAGCATTCTAATTCATATGTTAAACTGTATAAAGTAAATATTTGGCTAAAATTCTTATTTTGTGAGAGACTAGAAATCTAAATCTTTTATTTGCTTGCGAAGTCAAGGGGAACAGTGCCCCCTGGCTCTCAGGTCACTGCGGAGACCAGGCAGCTCAGCTCGTTCTGCAGAATGGGCCTTGGAGGGGAGAAGCCAAGTGGGTCTTCCAAAGAGGCAGCACCAGGGCAGCTGCAGAACAGCTGCAGAAGATGGAGAGCAGCTAAGGAAGCGGGAGTTGGTGGCTGCGGGCTCCGAGCTCAGTAGATTCAGCATTCCTGGCTATTCAAGTCAGTCTGAGGGGCTTAAAATAAAATATTCATGAAAGAACATGGCAAGCAGTTTTTTGCAAACCTCTGATGTTTCAGGCCTCAGATATTTTTGGGTTAGGGGCAATCAATGCCAAGTGTACTTGTGGGTCTAAAAATGAAGTTGCTGACATACTGAATTTCCTTTGGTCTGGGGATTAATTTAAGACTAATTTTTGAAGACCTGTTTAGCATGGACATTTTAAACTGTCTTCATTTAACATGGGCCCATCAATGTGAATTTACGTTGGATAATGTAATGTTTTTGAAAGCTATAAGATCACATGCCTTCCATTTAAAGGTACATGGACACCTCCTTAATCAACGTTGATGTGCAGCCAACGTACGTGCGAGTAACCGTCAAAGGGAAGGTGAGGACCCTGGAGGAGACCGAACGATTTCAAGAGCTAAGCTCGGTTGCCTCTAAAATCTAAATGCATTAAAATAGAAAAAGAAAACTCGAAAAGTTTTTTTCTTCCGGGCACAGGATTATATGCCTCAGGAGGGGTATAAAGTGGAAATGGCTGCTCACCATTCTGCAATTTGATAAAATTAGGACTTTTTATTAACAAATTTGCTGCATTAGTCGTTTTCTCAAAACTGGTGAGATGATCCTAGCCATGTACAGGATCGTCTGTGCTTGAACATATTTTAATAATATCCTCATTTAACATTGTCAGTGATTTTGTTCACAACAACTATAATTTTATCATTTTTGCATAGTGGTTATTGCTTATTCTGGGACTTCCTGTGTTAGCTTGAAGACTCTAAAATGGAAACGTTGATATTTTATGACCAGATATTCATCCATAAGCCCCTCCCCGTGATGTCCCCACATGTGTGCTTCCCTCTCTGATGGATGTCATTCTTTAGACTGTTGTTTAAAAGAGGTAAAAAGTTCACATGTACCAAGTACAGCCCATATTTTCTTTTCCTGTTGAGTGTAAGCACACTGTTAAGTGGGATAGTACATCTTAACGAAAGTAATTCAATGCAAGCGCCCTGGCAGCCCAGCGGCACTCGTGTGATGCACACTCACTCTCGTGACACTTCTTGCAGGTGTTCCAGCTCGTCCTTCCTGCAGAAGTCAAGCCCGACAGCAGCTCTGCCAAGAGATCTCAGACAACAGGGCACCTGGTGGTCTGCATGCCCAAGGTGGGTAGTGTCATTCCGGTCAATTTCAAGTTTCCATGTGTCGGTTCTGCAAGAACTTGGCCTCTCAGGCCTCATCATGACTTCCATCAAGGTTCTTTTGGTTGGTTGGAAGAACCAGAAAATCCACTTATGCCAGCTCAGGCAGGGGAACCAAATCCCCAGAGCATAAAGAGCTGGGCAAAGGCACGGTTGGGGCCTGGGGCCACCTCCTGTCATCAGGTTGCCAGAAGTCCCTGTCACTGCAGCTTTCTACCTCTGCTGACCAGAGTCTGGGTGGGGGTGGGGGCGCGTAAGTTGGCTGGTTCTTCCAAGTTGTGCGCGAACCATTGAGCATGTCTAGTTCATGGTGATCAGTCCTTTCCTAACAAATAACTTGGGGAGCAATGTAGTAGGCTTTGGGGTGCTAAAAAATTGGTGCTTAAATTGCAGTTATTCAGTTTTATTAGTTTTGTCATTTTCTAGACCTCTAGTTACTATTACTTCCCTTAAGACAAAACACACATAAAATTCAGAACCTAGCGAGCGCTCACTGCATTACATCGGTATTATTTCTAAGATACACATCAGATATTATTTTAACTGAAACTGTTTTTTGTCTTTTGTTTTGTGGGGGAGGAGCGGCATGGATGGATGATGTGAGTCATCTGATTCATTGCAATGCAGCAAGCGTGTCGAGTGCTTGGTGCCAGCTGCTGACCTAAAGAACCATCAGGTCTCCAGTGAGCTCAGCAGAGGAGACAAGACTGTAGACAAATAGCTGCCTACAGGATGACAAAAGCAAAGGTGGAGTGATGTGCTGGGATTGCAGGCTAGACTCTTGGGTGAGGAGGAAGTGTAGGGCCGTATCTGTCAGCGAAAGTAACCTGTGGTTCCCGGAGAGGAAGCCCATGCAGCAAGGAGTGTGGGGTGCAGTCCTTGAATGGGAAGAGGCTCTTTGTGGCTGAGCACGGGACATATGTGAGGATGTGGCAGAGGAGGAAGCTAGATGGGATGCAGGAGAAAATTCATGATGGCCTTTCTTGGAAATGCCACCCATGATTCCATCTGAATGGAGGTGTATTGGGGAAACCAGAGAGACAGCTGCTAAATAAAGCAGGCATGGTTTTTAAGGTGGAACATGATAACAGCAGGAATTATAATTTCTTTCTTTAATATTTAATGGATGTGTATTAGAAGCCAGGAACTGTCTCAGATATCAAATGAACAAGGTCCTTACTAGCAGAGGGGAGCCAGGCCGCACGCAAATGAGAGCACGTTTCTGCGAGGAGATAGCATTCACCACGAGGCCTGGGCGTATGATACGCACGATTCAGGGGCGCAAAGGCGAGCCCCAGAGGAGCACTTAAGTTATAGAACAGCAAGTGCAAAACAAATACGGAGGGGGAAGGAGACAACTGTGTAAGGTAAGATGAAAGTGAAGGCTACAGCTCCCTGGTGATAGAACCGTAGCGTGTGATACTTTACAGGGGTAGTGTGGCCTCTGCTGACCTCAGATTCCTTGACTTGGATCTCAGAATTCAGTACCTGAGATAGGTTTCTGGAAACCAAACAGGCTTATAACAAAGATCAATGACAACCCTGAACAAACCTAAGGAATTTAAACTTAAAGCGTAACCGGTCTGTATGGAGTGCATGAATTATCTGCAGGCATGAGTGGGTCAGGATGTTTGCTGCAGAAACCCCAAATAAAACAGGCTTTCCCCACAAAGAAGTGTTCCATCTCTTGTAAGGAGGCGTGAGCAAGGTGAGGAGGGCTCAGGCAGCATGGGGCCAGGGTCCTTCTGGTATATTTGTTGCACAGTGTCAGCGAGTTCTTGTCTCAAGTCAAAAAAATTGAGGGCATGGACTGTGAGGAGTGAGTGTTAAAGTTTATTCAGCAACAGGAGAGCAGACAGGGAGGTGGCACCAGCCTCTACCTTGTCTACCAGCCAGAATCTGTCTCGTGTTAGCTTTGTCCCGAGACACCCACTTCCTTCCTGAGATGAGAAATAGCAGCGACTTGTTCTTACCGTGCACAAGAGAGAGAGCAAGTCAGAGAGAGACACAGGGAGTCAAGGTTGCTCTGGGTTGATCAGGCGGCCGTAGTTAGAAGCCAGTTAATGTTGGTTAGCACAGCCCTGGCCATCGAACCAACCTCTGATCAAAGGGATAGTAGAGCTTTCTTTGGTCTCTATTATATTCTATTTTGTGACTGTTAGTCCATCCCCTGAGCGAGAGAGGGGTCCACTTGGCCCAAAGCTCTCAGGTTTCAAAGGGGAAGGAAACATAGTCCAATCAAAATGGGATTCTGCTCCTGAGAAATAAAGGAGAATGGAGTGTCTGCCACCCAGAGTAGAAACTTGATTAACGAATAAGGTTTCTATAGTGATTTAATAATCCTTCATTTTCCTGTAGCCAATTTTGCAACAGATTGATTATGGGTAATCAATTATATATTTTCACTTTGTGCCAACAAGACAGCAAATACAATTTGTTGTCAAGCAATAAAATAACAAACACAACTGTAAGAACCGCATTGTCCTTGGTGAGTACAGCAGATTAAGGAAACACTTCTATGCTAATTAGAATATCCCACAGGGAAATCTAAGAGATAACGTAATTACCGCAGTAGTTTGATATGGACATCTGTATGACGCTGTCATCAGCAGTCTTATTTTTTTGGAAGTTTCCATTCTGACTGAAAAGTCGAGATTAAATGGTAACTGTTGTTTCCAAAAAGGATCTCAAGACGTGTGACCTGTGTACCTGCTGCGGGGGGCCAGGCACTAGACGAGCTGTCACAGCTTGGGGATCTTTGAAATAGAGACAGCTTTAAGTTCCCATTATCCTTTCTGTTTCCAGAGCTGTCTGAATTTTTCATTTTAAACACACATGAAAACTAGTGAGACATGGCTGATTTAAAAAGGCGTCTGAGAAATGGTTGGCTGGAGATGAGATGGTTCATGTAGAAGGACTTAGAATGGTCCTATAAAGTCTCGGGGTGTACCAGTTATGTCCACCCTTTTCACTTGTTATTTAATTATTAAATTACTCTTATCATTCTCCTCTACCTGTAACATTGTTTTTATTATTTTTATTTTTTTAAGATTTATTCATTCATGCATGTAAGAACTGGGGTACAGGCCAGAAGTGGGGCGGTGAGAGGATTCACCAGAGACAGAGTGGGGAACAGAACAGGCAGACTGACTGAAATACACTGCTGAGGGGAGCAGTGGGCAAGACAGGAGAGGTCTGCTGCGCCATGCGGGTCAGCAGACCTTGGGCAAATTATCCACCCCTTTGTGCCTAAGCATCCTCGTCCACAAAGTGATACTAATATTTCCTATGTCACAATGTTGTTCTGAGGATTTTAGAAATTATGGAAAGTAGCTGGAAGAGTGCTATTGTTTATTATAAGTAATGTTAAATGAATTCATCGTTTTCCCTACTGTTAATATTTTTATTATTGACAACTCATTGACTTTATAGATTGTTAGGTAATGAATGGATGTATTTAAATAATCATAGTTGTATTTCCAATTATCTATGTTTTTTCTAATTACTGCTCTTTATGTCCCTTAACAGTTCTTTTTGTGGTTTTCTATCAATAGAGACTACATGTTTTCTAAAGTTCATTTTCAGGTACCATGCATATGACTTCAGCTCATTTTTTGAGTGGGATTATCCCCCATCACGTTTTCTAGGAGTTAATGCTTGGTCTTTTGTATGTAAAGTGTGTGGCCGGACTAAGTTATACACACATAAATAATCTCATCCTCTTGGGCTTGATAATATTTGGCGTGTGAGTTCATCACAGTCTAACTAACAAGATTTAACTGAAGATTTGTCCTCAATGAGAAGTTTGCATTAAGTCATAACCGTAAGACTCCCGTCTAGAGTCTCAGTTGACAAGTTACACGAATGCTCCAATAACATGCTTCCTGGTCTCCTTGGGTGTTCTTTCAGAATAATTAACTGGGCTTCACCCAGTCGCTGTCTGAATTGAGCAGCAGATTTTATTTGCATTTTTGGTTGGCGAGCGCCTTGCTTGACTGCTCTGCTGGGCACCCACTGAGATTCTGAAACCAGCTTCCAACGCCCTTCTCCCTACTAGCTGGACACGAGTTGCTCAGTCTTCTCTGCACTCAATATGCGTGTGCACGCTGAAGGCAAACTCACCCTTATCCTCTGTCATGAATTCCCAGTGGGTCTCTGCTGAGCTTGTCTGGTCATCCTGCCAGGTTCTCCTGCCCCTTTCAGACTTGCACTCGTCGAGACTGTGATTTCTCACCCCCAGCTCGCACCTTAACCTTCCAACACTGGGAAAGAGTAGAAGCAGCAGCAGGTCATGTCCACATCCTCTGACGCTCCTGGCTGTGGCCCAGCTCCACAGGCATGTGGGGTCCTGTGTCCACTTGCTTCTGAAGGACCATCTTCCCTCTGACAGGGCTCGCTTCTCTCCTGCATTGATTCCCTTCCCTGCATCTTATATCAGAAACACGCGGAAGCATCGCCCTTCTTACAAACAAAAACATGTAGTTTTACCCATTTACCCTCTGTATTGCCCTGATCTGCTTTACAGCAAAACTCTCATAACAGACGTTCCTATTTGGTATAGACTAAGCAAGAATCACCCTGAACTTCCTCCTGTGAAAGAGCGTATTTTCTAGGAAGACTCTTTCTAGCCATTTTGTAAAATGCGCTTTTCTTTTTAGGTATCGTTTTATCATCCTTGATGTTTGTCCTCACTTAATAAAATACCTTTTTCAGTTTTAGCTTGTGTCATGTAGATGATCCTCCCTGAGCTAAGACTGCACTTCACAAATATAAAAGGACTTAGGAGGAACCATTCGCTACTTAGATTGGCTCCTCTTTTATTTCAAAGCCACACACTATCTTATGCAACTGTCAATACTGATTTTACACATAGATATCAGTGATTGATCCCTTAAAATTTGTCCTCAAATGACTGAGTACCCTTGGAATCAAGACCAGTGTGCTAACCATATTTTTTAAAATCA